TGATTAAATGGCTGGCCCCAGCTGATACCACTATAAAGGATGCTCCGCTGCAGAGCTAGGAGCTCTGCTTTCTATCCACTCCCCTGGGCTGAAGCAGAAATCTCAGGTCTCTGGCTTCTCTACTTACTCTTCTTTTTTTCTTGTCTCCTATTCCTTCCTTAGTCCAGATGGAGGGAGAGAGCAGGAAAGAGGAGGCAATGCCTCTGTGCTTCCAAGATAAGGAGGCAAAGAAAACCTAAGGGAGGCAACATGGCTGAGATTTATATGGGTTTCAGAACTGCTGCCTCCTTGCTTCCCAGTGGGTGGCACCATAAAACTGTCCGTCCTTTTTCAACTCATCTAGGAGGGAGCAGAGAATTTGTCTCACACATTAGGTAGGTCTTCAAGGCAGAGTTAACCTGGGTTCTTACTCAGGTGTTGCCCCTCAGCCCTCTCCCGTCTACACACCACACCCTCTCACCTGAGTTTGGTGGTGCTCTGAACCCAGGCTAGCTGGCGACATGGATTGGAACTTGGGTGCTGCTTTCACTCACACTGGTCCTCACCCACTTTTAGTGTGGATGAGGCTAAATCACTCAAGTACTGATAGTCCCCCAGTGCCTTCCCACAATTCCCTCCCTGTGCCCAGAACAGACAAGTGTCCCCTCCTGCCCTCCACCCCCATTCACTGGGAAAAAAATCACAAAGCATCTTGGTTTACTGCTGCAGCAGCACAAAGAACTATGGGATATGCCCCCAGAAGTCGGATAGGGCTTTGTACTAGTCTAGACCCAACTGCCAAACACCTGAGTTAAGTGCAGTGAAGACATGCCCAAGATCAGATTTCCTAATAGAACTGTTCCTCCAATACTATCATTGGGGCATTTCTCGCTCTTGCTCACAGAATTTGGAGAGCCTCCACCCTGCTGCGCTTTGTGAGAGGATTCACACATAAGCCTTAGGCCAAGGTGTGGCAGACAAATGCTGGCTCAGTTCTTAGCACAGGTTGATTCAGTTTCTGTTGTTGGGCAAAGCTGCACTTCAAACAGATTTAATGGTTTATTAAACAAAACCTGTCCAACCATTTAAAACATTCCCCTGCCGTGTTGCAATTCCAAACAGCTGAAGTGCAGGAGAACTGGAAAGCAAACCTGGTTTAGAAATTCAATGCATCCAGTCAAGCTTGCATCTCCAAGCTGCACAAAATACAAGATGAAAAGCGTAAATAAAGAAGAGTTAAGATCTTCTCCATTATCCTGCCCCTTGTTGCAGTCAGTTACCCCAATGCAACATGAGAGTACAATGCTTCCAAGTCAGACGCCTAGGATTTTACACTCTTTGCTTTGGTTTAAATGACCAAATGTAAAATCCTTCCATTCTGATTTGGAAATATTTTCCTGCGCAAAGACCAGGCTAACAGTGAATCGAGACCCATGACATTTTTACTAAACTCCAGTCATTGTAGGAGTTAACATAGGGAAGGAAGAGTCTTGTTCACTGCAAGTAATAGCTAAGATTTTAAAGACAGAGCCACCGCTCTGAAATATCGTGCCCATGTAAAGGATCTCAAATTGGACACCCAAAATCACTAGTCACTCTGGAAAATTTAGGTCTCTTGAGTGTTTCTTTATAGATGACCAGGCAAGCTAACAAATAGGTCTACGGTCACAGAATACTTGAATAACTGGGTCATTAGAGATGCATTCAGCATAGTTTTCAGAGTCGCAGCCGTGTTAAGTATCAGAGGGGTAGCCGTGTTAGTCTGAATCTGTAAAAAGCAACAAAGGGTCCTGTGGCACCTTTGAGACTAACAGAAGTACTGGGAGCATAAGCTTTCGTGGGTAAGAACCTCACTTCTTCAGATGCAAGTAATGGAAATCTCCAGAGGCAGGTATATATCAGCGTGGAGATAACGAGGTTAGTTCAATCAGGGAGGGTGAGGTGCTCTGCTAGCAGTTGAGGTATGAACACCAAGGGAGGAGAAACTGTTTCTGTAGTTGGATAGTCATTCACAGTCTTTGTTTAATCCTGATCTGATGGTGTCAAATTTGCAAATGAACCGGAGCTCAGCAGTTTCTCTTTGGAGTCTGGTCCTGAAGTTTTTTTGCTGTAAGATGGCTACCTTTACATCTGCTATTGTGTGGCCAGGGAGGTTGAAGTGTTCTCCTACAGGTTTTTGTATATTGTTAGTCCGTGTTAGTCTGTATTCGCAAAAAGAACAGGAGTACGTGTGGCACCTTAGAGACTAACAAATTTATTTGAGCATAAGCTTTTGTGGGCTACAGCCACAAGTACTCCGGTTAGTCTCCAAGGTACCACACATACTCCTGTTCTTTCAGCATAGTTTTAAATTCAAACTTTTAAATTTAAAAAAACGAAAGAGCTACTTCTGCCCTATCTCCCCACCGTACGCTGGCAGTGGAAAGCGAGCAGATTGCTGGCCATAATGCAGTTTTTGCTTTAAGCTTTGCAGTTCATCTTCTGCCAGTGCCTGCCGTGCTGCTGAGGTGGCATTTGTGACACTAACACAACAGGAGCACAGTGCCACTGCAAGATCTGCTTTCACTCCCCATTGAACAGTGATTGGACAATACGGACACAAGCTGTTTAACATTCAGAGACCCCCATGCTTTAGCACCGAGAATCAGTGTAAATTAATCCACTATAGAAACTAATTTACCAGCTTCAAGAGCAGCCAGAAATTGCTCAGGAACCTGCTTCACATGGTCACTCCAGTTTTTCCTTTTGCAAAACTGGGGGCTCAGGAAGAGGTGTAGAGGGGACTACAGCCACCATTCTTCTCTGGAGAGGGCAGAAATCGGGGTTAACCTCCCTATGCATTGTTCATCTATTCAACTAGGATAGTCTGTTTTCACTGTGCATCTATCCGACCATTTAGAATCCCATTTTAGCATTTTTCTGCTTGCTTCACCCATTAAAAAAAAAAAAGCTAGTCCTACCCCCGAGTTTTCAACGCTCAACTAAGCACCAGGCCTGGAGTTAGCAGAAGCCAGTGGACTCTTGATGCAGAGCCTAGGAGTATCAGAGGTGAACAACTGAGGATGGAGAACAAGAAGCAGTGGTTGGGTGCAAGGAGGAGAAAGGCTGAGTGTTTAAGCAATGCAAAGACAATGCAGAATTTAGCTTCATTTTTTTTTGAGTTACGGTCAAGTTGAGTTATGGTCCAGTGACATTTAAAGATGGGATCAGAGGGTACTGCTAGCATCCAAATTACATACAGACATACACACACAAAGGCCTTAGTTTGATTGACTTGAATTGTCTCCTCCCTATGTAAGTGTCACAGTTTGTTATATTTGTACTGAGATTACAAGCATAACTCACACACAGCAAGTAGCAGCAAAGATGTGAAACGCTGCAAGTGATATTTTCCAGCATTAATAGAACTACATCAACTTGAGTTCAGAAGCTTGCAACTAATTCATCCAGTCTCTAAAATTCTGACCCATAGCCTTCCCCAGATGTGCCAGTTGTCTCTGAAGTACAAATTACTGTGCTGTACAATGACAACGCTAAAAGCAGGTTGGAGCCAGACATGCAAAGACAAGGGACCCAGCCCTGGCTTGCAATCTACGCAATCAGCAGACGAAAGATGGAAGGTTGAAGGACATCAAGAAGCAACAGAGCAGAGCTGGTGCTGCAAAGTTAGTTCTCTGTTTTAACACTAAGGTTCACAGGCCAAATGAAGTGTTCACAGGACTTAGCAGAGGCACTGAAAATTCAGGCTGGAGGGAGCACCTCAGAACAGGAGGCTGCATGGAAGAAAGAAAAGCAAGATGGGGGTTTAGTTACTTGCAGAGAGGTAGGCAGAAGCCAAGTTATGCAGGGCTTTGAAGGTAAGAACAAGGAGCTTAAATGTGACACAGAGGTTCAGGGGAAGCCAATGAATGGGTTTGGGGAAGATCTGGGCATAGTGGGAGTGGCTTCTGTAGGTGGAGATTTGTGGTAAATTCTGGATGTGTTGATGAAGTGTCACGCAAGCCTACAAGTTCAAACTAGTTTAGTTTGCATTCTGAACCATATATGAACCCAGCTCTGTGAAGGTGACACCACAGTTCATTAGCTCCCTACGACCTGCCCCGAAGCACTTTCTTGAATAAAGCAGCTAGCTCACATACCAGTTTGCAAACAATTGGAGTTTAATCCACTATCACTGCTCAAACCAGCACAAAGCTGATTCCAGAGGAATTATGCAGTGGAGGATTTTTTTCATAGATCAGATCCTTGATATAGGGAGGTAACACTACCTGGACTTGTATGAGGACACATGAGAAATTAAAAGGATATCCCAGAGAACAGTGCAATATATATATTGCCACTGCTTTTATACATATCAAAAGGACCTCGAAATCTCAGAGGAGTTAGTCCCACTCTCTTCTTTGAGATGGATATATTCTTCCATTAGACATTTATGTACTTTGATCTCACCTCTTAAATTAAGAGCTTGTATACGTTTACATGTTACATTTAGGATTTAAGATTACTTTGCAGCCTGATAATCTTGAAACTTAACCACCTTTAATTCTAGACTAAAGCAGATCACTGAATTAACATGCTAATGCACCGTAATGCATCAATTCCTGCTTATAGTCACGCACATGTAAGAGACAGAAGAGGGTTTTGGAGACTCATAATGGTATATTGAGTCTTTCACCTGTACATTACCAGTTCAAATCCAGATCAGGCTGGTACGGACCTAAAGCTACTGAGGTTCTTCAGTAGCCTATGAAATGAATTTAATGGTCTCAGTCCAAATCCTACACCAGCCCAATCATATCACTTGCATTAATGGCTGAAAGGGCATGAAGAGTGCATTATGCTTTCACTTCTAGGCAGTACCTAAAGGTCCTGGTTGAGGCACAGAGCAAAAAGTGTGGGTAAGTGTGCACTGATGCTCTACCCACAAGGACTTCTTTTCCAGGGTTGTCAATCTGGCAACTTTCATGAGAACCCAAATTCACATGGAAAAATTTGTAAGAAAAAAAAAAATGGAGACAGGCTTATGTTTCTAATCCAAATGTACTTCTCTTTATTCAAACCAGGGGTAATCACTGGTTAGTGCAAAATGCACCTAAACCTTTTGCCTGAGGGAAATCTACATCTTAACAAGGCCTCCGTTAACCCCTAATGAAATCCACAGAGGATTTTAAAGAGTTTGAAGCACAGATCTAAATGCTGTACTTCGTAAGTGACACTGTGCATCAACAAGTCTGCACCTGCATTGTTACCAGTTCTATACTGTCAGGTAACAAAAGCAAAATACACTCAGTAGATTTCTTCTTTTAACTCCCAGAGTTTCTGGACCAACTGCCCCACCATTATGTTAGAAGTAAAGGGGTTGAAACGGACCATCACTTCCAACATTGCTAACGGAAACCCTGTTTTAAATTAAAAAATAAGCCAGCATACATAGTAGAAAATTTCTCTTAAAAATTTCACAATCTGTAAATGTATATATTTTTCTTTAAACATAAAAGTTTACAATATACGGTAAAACAAAGGCTCAGGAAAAATAATTTCAAAAAAAGAAACCTGAAGTTTTGAATTAAAGCTGAAGACATTTTTAAAACCCTGTAGTTTGAACCAGTGACATTTTCTTTATTTGTGCTGATGGGTTAGAGAAAGGAATATATTTAAAACCTGCAGTCCAAACACCCACAGCGTTGCCTTCAAAAGCCATCCCCCCTCCCATTCCCCTCCCCCAATGTTGTTAGATTTTTCTTCCATCAAGTATGTGATTGTCACAAGTTCAGAAGTCTGGGATTCCCGGGTTCAGCTGCTACCAGATATCCCACTGTGGACAGGACTCCCTGCATGTGCTAGCGTCTGTAGGGGTGAAATCCTTGCACATTATGGTTCTGTCCTCGTCCAAAACCACTTCCTCCTGCAGGTGGGCCACTTGATGGTGGCACCGAGGGGCCTCCATAGGAGGGGGGCTGCTGGCTGGGGTCGGAGAAACCTTGTCCAAAACCGCTCAAGTCTTGTCCATAACCTGGGAAGAAGAGGAAAAGGCTGCAGTAAGCTTCTATTACAGTCCACACGCTCAAAGGTAGAGGCACAGCACCATTTCAAAACTGATGCCACACACACCAATGCACAGCCTTATGAACACACAATGATGTGCTGATCTAATACCCAGATGATAGTTGCTTTGACATTTGACCAAGTTATTTGGATTTACATGTAGAAAATACAGGAACTGATAAAAGGCAGAGAGGAGAGGGGACTGAATGCCTAATTGGAGATAGTGCTTTTCACTCTATATCAAATCTTACCCAGGCTGGTGGTGACCAAAATGTCATGCTACTGCTGTTCAGAGGCTTATGTAAAGTGGGTTGGTAGTATCTATTAGTCCATAATGGATAAGTGTTCATATTAGCAAAACTAGCATTCTGTCCGTTTCAGCAGAGGTAGAGAAGATTAATGGGGAAACATCTGTCTGAAAATTTGACAGTTACTATAGTTGATGTTTGTAACTGAAAGGAGTTAGTGAGAGTTTGTGATTTTCGGTTTATTTTGTGTACAGCCAATTTTAGTTTCCTGTGTATGGTCAAGTTTTCCTTTGCTGAAAAGACCCCTATAAAGATAACTGTAGGAAATTCTTTTAAAAAGGAGTTTTAAATACTAGGCCCTGAATGTATTTTTTTTAAGATGATGGTTGCATCAGAAACTAGAATTTTCTGAAATTGTCAATTAAAAAACCCAACTTGACAGTGTCCCTTTCAAAGTTTGTGGTGACTGGACTCCCATAAACTTCCATCAAATCCACAGACCAGAATCAGGAAGCTTTGTTATTGCTGCTATTGCCCCCACTATGCGGTTAAAAAGGGAACTTCAGCTAATTGCCATCCAAATCCAACACCCTACCCTGGCGTTAACTCGCTGCACAGAACCAGCTGAAATGAGCAAATGGTGTGGCAAGTTTCTTCTCAAAGGTAGCTCAAAAGAACGGCAAAAGCTATTTTATCATCAGCTTCCCACATAACTTAAGCAGGCAGACTATATTTCCAATGTAGCAAAAACACAAGCAACAGATAAATAGTTATATTGGAATAGCCATCCCTTCTGTGTACCCTTGCTATTCATACTAACACAACTACTGAGTTAGTCTAAGCTGTTTCACCTGACTTACTCATTTTAAATCTAAAAGTGAGCTGTCCCTCTGTGAACTTCATGCTCATTTATTCTGTAAATCAGTATCTTTCTGACAGGGTAACAACTAGCTCCCTTTCCCTGAAGAGATCATAAAGGTAACTACAGAATCAGGAGACTTTTACCTCCTACCACATCTTCCTCCTGCCTTGTCAATGAGATTGTAACCTCCATTCTACGACATAATCTGGAGCTGAGGTAAGAGATTTTGGAGCAACAGGTTTAGAGTAAGCAGGATGACAGAGGAGACAGAGAGACAGCCTTTCAATTTGGAGGAAAAAACTAAATTCCTGGAAGGCAAATGGATGTGTATTAATAGTAACTTACTAAAAGAAGTTAAGAAATCTAACAGAATATTTCTAGTGATTAAAATACAACCGTCAGTCATTACAATGGCATCAATGTGAAATTCCACTAGGTAAGACAGCCTTGGTAAGAATCCTAGAATTACTCAGTAGATCTCTGGGACTCACATTTTGTCTGCACAGGGTTAAAGCAGGTTTAACTCTGCTAATCCAAAGCAACAGTCTCTTGGCATCTCCTCAGTATTTCAATTCCAAGCTCTGCCTGTCTCACAGGACTTACTACCACTAACGAACCCAACGGTGCATTGCGCATGGGATTCCCGTTTGAAGATTTCTCAAGCTGCTAATTCAGCTGTTTTTGACACAAAGATCAGTAGGCAACCTTAAATGCATTAATTTAATGCCAAGTGGTGGGGTTCGGAGTAAAGATAATCACATTACTCTCACCAGCATTATGGCTTCCAGTGAATAGTTACGAAAACCAGAGCTCTGCTGGGTTGTTTGCCACAAAGGAATCCAGCAGTCAAACAAACAGCCAACGTTGGGGGAGGGGGGGGGGGAGAGAAGGGGAATTGTTCTTTCCTCCAGTGAACTATCCCACCATTGGTCTGCATTGTCACTTCCAACAGTGACACATAGCTGATTCACAACTCCAGAGTGACCTGGTTTCTAAGTCAGTTGTGTCAACAGTAGCAGGCGATACTGACTCTGTTGCTTAGGGTAACTAAATGCAATTTGCTTACACAAGACAATCTAAGTCTTGCCAATGCAATATCTTGGGAAGCGAACAGCAGTGGAGTCATATTCCAACGACGTGTTTTTACTTAGGCCAACTAACAGATATTTACAGTAGATTATCCTTGAACTGTAAAAAGCAAACATTTCCAAGCCACCATACTTATCTCACCCACCCTCAAAGAGAAGAGACCCTGAAAGAAACAAAAGTTAATTTCCCAAATGCAGATAAAGTAAGAGCATTGGTTGTAAATAGGCTCCACCTACCTAGGATATATCACTGCTCAGCCTGACCATAAGAGTGTAAACAAAGTATTGGCGCGTAGCCTGAAGGGTCTTGAGAATAGGTACCCAGCCCTAGTAAGAAATGAGGAGACCAGGGTGACTAACCCCAAGACAGCCCTGTACAGAGATATAATTTTTTTTTTGGGGTGAGGGAGACACACCCTTGTTAGAGTTTAATTTACTAGAGTGTTTACATTTATCTCAGCTGTAAACATAGCAGCATTTATGATGCTGTGAAGCCAGGATGAATCTGTAAATGCCAAAACGATTAAATACTTTGATGCCTCTTTAAAGTCTATAAACTCTATGCATTTAAGTGAAAACATGAAAAACTTGTTAACTGCCTTTTGTATACCAATGCTGCTAGCTGAATTGCAAATGACATATGAAGTTCCAAAGATCGTAAAGAGGTTAAAAAGATCTTAAACATAGCTTTATAAACATGAAGAGGTTATTGACTTGGGTGGTGATACACTAAGTCGAACACTTCTATCACTGTGTACATATACTGTGAGAGTGCAGTCTTGCACAGAAGTAGTTTGCTTTCTGGCATGAATTTTGGGGTGAGAGAGATTAATCCCACTAATCCATTTAACAACATTATCTAACCCTCTTCCTCCTCCCAAAAAATCCATTAACCACTAAGGACTAACTACAACCAGCATTTCGCTGTAGGAAAAAATGTCTCCAAGATTTATACAAGATGCAGCTGGGACTACATATTCCTTACACCAGACACCCCAACTATCCCTCACAGCATTGTTTTGAAAGTCAGTCAATTAAACTGAGTGGTGAATTTTTTAAAGTGATAATTGGAGGTTACTACATAAAAGTCTTGCAACAGGAACTTTAGAGCAGAGTTCCCTGTATGGAAAGTTTATATATAAATCAATTATACCTTTGCTGTTTGGATCCATTTTAATTATTGGTATTAAAAGACTTGGCTACCAAGTCTGAGACAAGATACATTTGTATGCATCAGTTTTTTTCTATTGAGTAAATGTTTCCTCTCATATGTAACAGAGGCACATTTCCAACAAGACAAGAAAATCTTCCACCTGAAGTCAAATTGGAGGAACTTTTGATCCCAGCTACTGTGTCTATGACACAAGCTTAAGAACATCTCTAACTCAACCAATCATAACTAACACCCTCTTCTTATGCATGTCAAGAACAACTGAAAAGCTGATCTCCTCCTATCAGGAGTCTTATACTTCAGATTTTTTGGACTACAGAAAATCCATTCAAAGAACTTTATGAAGCAGACATTTCGTAATGAACAGCTTCTGCAGGTATTTTATATGGGACTAGTAGGGCATGCATAAACACAGGGGGAAAAGTGGTTAAAATGCAGGGACAGAGTGGCCATTCTTGATTCCTAGGCTCACCTTGCGTATTATGCTGCCTTCAGAGGTTACCAATAGCCAGTGATCAAGGCGGCGGCACACCCACCCAGTTAATTGGGCAATGCTGCTCATGGAAGGCTTGGGTGCAAGGGTAAAATGAAAGAACTCCTTCCTGATCTCCACAAATAGTCATCTTTCAGCCAGTAGCACGAGACTTTGACTTCCCATATTTTGTCTTACTGTAGCTAACCTACTAAATCATTCTTTTTCACCTACTTTCAGCAATGAGCTCCAGAGATTGATAAAGTTTTCCCTAGTAAGTATCCACTTTTGTTTTAAATTAGCTGCATCAATTTCAACAAGTCTCATGAAACAGGGACAAAAGGGGCATGCAGGTCAGATTTTGCTATACCCTTTATTTTTTTGTCTCAGTCAATTCCCGTTACTCTAGAATAATTAGATACTACTTTTAAGTATCACTGTTCTCCTTGCTGAGCCCACCCTCTTATGGCAAGCCCCATCACTCAATGATTTTCAGTGCCCTTTTCACTGTGCTTTGCTTCAATTCTAGTGCATCTTCCTTGAGGTAAGATTACCAGAATTCCCTTTGGCTGCTACTGTGTTAACCAAAGACATTTCAACAGAAAAGGAAGCAAACTACTGAGCACCTTGCAGTGTGAAATTGTTAGTTGAACAAAAAAGGGTTTTAATTGGAGCATTTGGGGGAATACAAGTGGTGACTTATTCCACCACTGCACAGATCTTTAGAGAGCCAGTTATTTAGCGATTCAGGAAATGGGCAATACTTCAGGCAGAATAGGAATGAAACAATACTGTGATATCAGAGTATTGGATGTTTTGGGGGCCCTTGAGAGCTGGCATTCCCACCATTAGTACAAATGCTATCAGCATTAATACAGTGCTCCTGGAAACTGTGACTTTTCACCAAAACATTATGAATAAAAGGAAAGCAGAACCTTGGGGCTGAGGGGAAAGGTTGCCACTCTGAGTGTATTTTATATGCAGTTACTTACCAAACTGGCTATAAGGGAATTCTGGCTGAGCAGTTGGGGGTTTGCTCATGTCCTGAGTTGCCTGAGATGGTGGTGGTGGCGGTGGGAAAGCTAGTGGTGTTGCCCCAGGAGTGGCAGGTGGAGGGGGTACTCCAGGAGGGGCAAACTGGTCAGGTGGAGGAGGTGGAGCACCATATCCAAAACCTGATAAATAAGAGGCAGAGCATAAAATCTGTGACATGTTATGAGGCCAAAAGCACTTGGACTTTTCACTTGGCTTCAGAGTAATTTAACATTTTATTACTAAACCCTTTGTAAGGTGTCTACAGAAAAGAGATTACTACTTGTTGCCTGCAGCTGATGTAAAGGGATTGATTTAACCATCTCTTGACAGTCATCCTATCCACAGCTAAAGTCTTTTAAGAGATGTGAAATCTTATACCTGTTACACAGACTGCAATTGAACCATCTTACCTAGCAAAAAATAGCTGAAGAGGTAGACACAGGTACCGAAAGGTGTACTGGGGGAGCAGGGAAAAGCATGGTGAGACACCCCTCCAAAAAGCCTTTCATCCATCCAAATAAAGAAGTTGTCAAAAGCCTCAGGCTGAAAAATCCTGGACAGGCTGCTTCCCCAAAGCACAAGAATCAGAACTAACAGGTGCATAATGGAGGTGCAAGAAACTCTGTATAATTAAGGGCATCTTTCTGCCAGTTTTAACCCAATTGTGCATAGGAATTTTAAAGGAACGTAAAGGAGTTAGGTACCCAAATCCCATTTAAATTCAAATGAGAGCAGGATGCCTAATTTCTTAGGCTAGAATTTTCAAGGGAGCCTGTGTCTCTAGTCTTCAACATGCAGTATTACTATCTTGAATACCTCAGTTCTAGAAAGGAGAGGTCAAAAATAAAAGTCCTCAGTCAAAACGTAATAATACCATAACCTCTCAGTTTGTCTAAGTATTATTAATATGATCAGAATTGACGGATTCAAAGAAACATGAACTGAAAATATACTGATTTCTAGTTACAGAACAAATATTTGAGTGGATCCACAGGTGGATCAAATGTGAAAGACTCCAGTGAATTCACAGAAAGGCATGAAACAAAGACAAACAGAACTGACTAAAACTTGTTCCTGTGTTCAATGGCACATCATTGGTTCGAGACTCACAGAGGACACTTACTAAATGGTGGAGGGGTGCCATAGCCCTGTGGAAACCCTTGTGGAGGTGGGAATCCTCCAGGAGGCGTAGAAACTATGTATGAGGTAAAAGGTGGTGGAGGAGGTGGGGCTCCTCTTCCTGGAGGAGGCGGTCCATACCCACCTAGAAAATCCAATACAGAGTTGTGAGAACAGTGGTGCCTTCATCTAAATTCAGCAAAGGCAACTTTTTAATACCAAGTCAAAATTACCTCAAACAGAATAAAGAAGTTGTTACCGTACTTGGAACCAAATTCTCGGAAACTCTACCCCCTCTATGGATACGAACTTTGGAAAATAGCTCTACAGTTCTCTTTTTTGTATTTATTTTCTTGATGGCCAGTATCAGTTTAATTGCATTATCAGCAAAAGGGTGTATTCCAATTCCCAACACTGAATAGTTAAGAACAGAACTGTTCCCCCTGCCCCATATTTTTTTCCAATACAAACTCAAAAGTTGAGTTTTAAAACTAGCTTAGAAGCACTGTACTTGAGAAATTTACAGCCACCATCAATTCTCATTGAAAAGCAATTTACATCTGCACTACCAGTTGGCCTTTTCTACAGTTTACAATATACTAAACAATCAAACTTTTGTTACCTACTTACCAATTGCCTGTCCAGCTGGTACCCACATTCCTAAAACAATGAAACAGAATGATAGTTTATCCACTTATATATTGAAACTGTTCTATTAAAAATGGCATATAATGCAATTCTGAAAAAATAGTGTTCTACATTGGTTAAAGAGCTAATGCAAGAAGTGTCCAGGAGTCTCAAAACTCAAATTACACTCACTGTTCAAATTGAGAGAATATTCTAGCGTTAAAAGTCATTCCATAACTTTGTTTAAAAAGACTAAGGATTGCAAAGGTGAAGCTATCGTTACAAGGTGTTTCAAATATAATGCTGATAAGAGTTATCATTCAGCTATTTCAAGTGTTTTAGAACCATGGAACCTCATTTTATATTTGCTGCAGTGTGAAGGTAGAAAGTTTAACTTATTTAACAGTCCTGCATTTAATCCCGCCCACAGACTGATATAATGATACCTTTCCCTACAAATAACCAAGATGAAAGTGATCTAGTTTCTCAATCTGAGTTTGCAGATTAGCAAATCTGTGCAGACTGTCAAAGCCTCAGGTGCATCTTTCAAGTTAATAAGTACCATGGGGAAACAGTAAGCCATCCTATGGGGGCATAATGGACAAGGTGGCGCCACCCCCTATCCCCATGGTAATAATTTCTCATATCTGAGAAAGGCAGGTTATATATTCGGTTAGATGTCTCAATTATGCCACTTTATTTCTTCATATGGTATGAAAACATTCTTTAAATGAATTCAGCACATTTATTGTGTGTCCAAAATCTTGGGGTTTTTTTTTTATGGCATTCAAAACTAAAACAAGCATCTGCTCCTTCCAGCCCCAAAGGGCTCAAGCTAAATCAAGAAAATTATATGCATTAAGTGCTCCCCTGCATCACCACTAACAACTAACCCTAGAGCTGCTTGTTACTTTTCCAGGCTACACTAAGTAATGAAATACAAAGACACAAGATAGCCTGTTTTCCCTTCATATTTCACTCGTCATTTCTCTTGAAACTCATTTCAGATTTCATCTTTGAAAATCAGTGTTCCATAAATATTTTTAATCAGGGCCCCATGCCACCCACATTCCCACAGCTGCAGAATCATGCAATTCTCCCTGACTTCTCCCCATTACTGAGTAAAAAGAACATGCTGATTTGGTACTCCTGCTCCCCACACAAACAGAATGGATGAAGCACCAATCACAGTAATGATCCCCACTTAATCAGGATGGAGGATGTTGAGGAAACAGAACTTGTGCTGCCAAGACCCATTGATTTCTGCAGCATGTAACAAAAATCATTCTGAAAAAATTAAATTAAGGAAAACCCCAGGCAGAATTGGGGAAAACAGATGCAGAGTTCTTTAGTTCTCTACTGTGTCACTGCATAGATGGCTTCACTCCACTTGGAAGTATCTGTATCACTAATGAGATGTTGTTACCTTTTGAAAGAATAATGCAAGTTAAACGTGGTCTGTAACAAAACCATGGCTTGTGACAGACACTGCCAGTTTTAAGGAAGACAGGAATCACTGACTCTGGCTCTCTGAAACCCTCCCAAAGAAAATGTACCTTGAGGGCTGTATCCTTGTTGCCAGGTAGGAGGGGGCTGACCTGCCCAGCCATTGGCAGCACTTGGCATGATCCGGCTTCCCCACTGGCTGGCACCTGGTGGCCCTGGGGTTTGGCTTTTGCTATCACGAGGTTCTGCACGTTTTACCTCCACCTAAACAAACAGATTAGCCATTTAGGAGATGATGTAGGTTAGTTCACCCCCCTTCCCTTCACACACCCTTAATTACACTTAAGACTACACTTAGCACCTTATGACTTATGTCTAAATACTTAATTATAAAACTAGTTAGGCCAGTAATTAAAAAATGTTTCTCAGGTACAATAGATGCGATAGTAAGACATTACAAGTCCTATATCAACATATATTTAAAGCAAAACATGTCCTACAAACAATTGCTGTTCCATTGTATTAAGTAGTCATTTGCTTGCTCATCTTAAAGCAGCAGTACCCTCTTACAATGGCTCTTTGCTAAAAATGTATAGGCACAATCTTTTTAACTTAGTCTTTAGACTATTTTTTAAATGTTCACTGTGACATTTACAAAGAAGAAAACAATTTTAGTAAAGATCTTTCCACAAGCAAAGAGTCCACTCTGAAAAAGGGTACTAATGCTTTAACATTTAAGGATGATTGGGGTTCATTTGGAAGTTATAGTTTAAACCCACCCCATCTACCTGCAATTTCAGCTCTGTTCATACCTGAGAAACACACATTCGTTTGTTTGGTTTTTTACTTAGGTTTTATTTAAATGTCTAATGGAAGATAAAGACTTACCTTCCCCAGGCTAACGCTTAAAGAATCTCAATAACTCAAACAATGTCAGAGGGAATGGATGTGATAAGAGAATCTTACATTACATCTAACAAAAAAGTAAACAAACATGCAAGTAATAAAAATGGACAGTTGAGTCAATAAGAAGCAAATCTTCATACTGTGTTAAGTCAGTGACAAAAACCTTCCTGTTTTTAAAAGTGTTAATCCTCAGTGCTTAACTTATTTCATTTAAAGATAAAATGTCTTAGGGCCCCAAGGCATCAAGTGTATCTGACCTACTTAAAATAAGCTCCACATTCAATATAAACCTCAACCAAAAAATCCAGTTTCTGATTTAATGAAACACTCAGCACTCATGTATGCTGAATTAAAGTTTTTTTTATTTTATGATTAATTTTAGTGGATGCCAGAGTACAAAGAAAATAAATCTCAATCGCTAATTGGCCTGAGTAGTATGGAAAATAAAGTATTCAGAATTCTTCCTGCTAGGTCTTTAAACCATTCATGTTACAGAACAAACGGGAAATTGACACAGCACAAGGACAAAGGCCTCCCTCTCCTCCTCCCTTCTTCTGAAGATGCCCCAAGGACACTATACATGACAGTAACCAAACCTCTGTCAGCTGAATGCCCTGCTAGAGAGGAACCAAGGGAATTTCTCAAAGAATTCAAATTAATGAGTCTTAACTCATTTTCCTGAAGGGAATTCCGTTACTGCTTACAAAAGCAAAGTCCTGCTCGTAATTTTAAATTTCTACTTTCAGTAACATATGGATACAGATTCACTTCAGCAATAAATTTTTAATTATAAAGAAAAGTATTTCAAAATCTTGAAGCATCTATTAATAATCAATTAAGGGGGTGGACCATCCAATGTTACATTTATCTAAATGGCAGAATTTCATTAACCTGTAAACCAGCATTTGGAAGTGTTAGACTCCTAAACTAGGGATTGGGACAACCTAATGCAAACAAATTTTAGGATCAAGGTGAGAATTCTAGACCTGCCCAAGGCCAAAGTTATAAACACTCAAAAGAGGAAGAACTACCTAGGTTTCTTTCATGCAACCGGGGAAAATACTGCATATATTTGTGCACGTTTTAGACCAGGTCATGCAAGAAATAGTTAAGGTAATCCCAGAAAACTATTTCAATTCTGATGCTGAGCCTGTTCAGGAACCACTGTATAGCAAATAGAGACCTAAAGAGGCACTATTAGTGAGTAGCAATTGATTGAAATACCTCAAGAACTGATCACATAAAAGATTATGACACTTTAGAGACTTACAAGGGGGCTCTCCACAGATTTACAGAACCATAAAAAAGTAGCCGTGGCATCCCTTGGTTCTGTTCATAAATGGCATACTGCCTTGCAATCTGTGCTCTAATTTAAGTAGTTCTTCCAAAGTTTAAGGTAATATCAGTGAAAAAGCAATGGATGTATAAAGGATAACAAGTAAATAAATGCTCCAATTCTGCAAATACACATATAACTTTACTCATGTAAGTAGCTGCATTGATTCAAATGAGATTACTCAACTACTCACAGTAAGAAAGTTACGCATGTTCCTCCTTCCAAGGTTTGGGTCAAAAGTGTGTTCATGCAGATAATTCATTTGTATTAATTGGTAAACCATTCTCTTTCTCAATGTGACTGTAGTTTCAGTGTATCGAAATAGGGTAGTAACCCTTTAAATACTTAATTTTTAACAGTGACTTTTTAAAGCGCTTTGTATAGAGCATTGTAATCTAACAATGCAAATTTTGCACTAACCCACAAGAACACATTACCTGTCAGCCAAAGAAATGCCTGAGAGATACTAGGCTGTAGAAATCTTTTGAATTCAACATGGAAAAATGTTTGAGTTAAAGGACTATGACAAAGTCCTTTGGTTTTGATGCAAGTTTCTTTGGGTTACTTTTCATGTAGATTTTCAACAGCCTTCTAACATCTATGTTTTCAAATTCAGGGTAAGCTGTATAAAGCTGCAATATTTTCGATTTTACCAGAATTTCCCTTTTAGAAGCTGTGATATTCACAATATAGTTAAGATTTAGGAATTTCTCTCAGGAACTACTTGTTCATTCTACTTTTAAATTTTCCATAGGTGAATCTTAATGTTCACAGTTGATTATACAATCAAAAGGAGTAGAAAGGCGGAATCCCTCACCTATCAAACCTCCTTGTGCTGACAACACAGTATGAAGATGAAACAACCAGAGGTCACTTAACTGCATTGTGGTTAAATACTATATAGAACATGTGGGTTCGTATCAAAGTTTCACAGTAAGTGACCCAATTTTTAAAAAACCAATCCTTCATGATGTTTTATGGTCTTTTTTGGGTTAAAGTTTAGGACTATAAAGGCAGATCCCCTCAAAGTGCCTCAAAATTTGAATATGAAATGCACATCTGAAGGAGTGGTATGTTAAACCGAGCCTTAGCCAGCTCAGAGATTTCACTGGGATCTCAATTTACAAACATATGAGAATTAAAACTAACTTCTATCCCTGCTGCTGAAAAGGAAAATAGTGAGCAGTCATGTAGCAGTGCATAGACCATGACTATTCATAGAGTCAATTTATTCAGATACAAATACTGCTCAAATGGAGCAGTTTGCTATTTGTATAATGGTCCAGGACTCATCTGAACTGTTTAAATAACTTGCATAAATACTCAGGCCTTCAAGGTCTGTTTCCTTCCCATGGGATAGGCAGCAAGTTAAGGAGAGGTTCCCCTCATATCCATTGTCTTATGCAAACTCAAGGGACTTTCCCCATCATCATGGACAAAGCCCTGAATTTGGATTTTCTTTAACTTTTTAGGATCTCCCCTGTTTAAACCACAAATTACTGATTCTATTTCACCAGTGAAATTGCCAATTGCCCAAGACTTGGTTTTGTCTTAAGGTAAAATAAAACTACAACTACACACTTTTTTGCCCATGATGTCGTGAAAATGCATGTTGACAGCCTGGTCCACTGATTGTTCGTCCTCGAAAGTAATAAATCCAAAACCTAGCCAACGACGAAGAGTGAATCAAGGTAGCAGGGTGTTGTGACACAAAACAGGATGATGAACAGTATTAGGGGCGGACCAAGGGTTCAAGCAGGGGCTTCAGATAACCAAGGCTTGTGTTATGAAGTTCTCAAAAATCAGTCCTCTGAGAAAACTGTAGTGTGTACTTTATATATAAATTATCAGGCAACTAATGCCTCAGCTTAGTTTCATACATGCAACATTACAAACTGAAACAATTAAAATCAATGTTTAGCTTCTTGTATCTAATCCATCCACTAAAAGGGGTGGAGAGATAAACACTACCACAACCCTAAATGTTACTGTACCACAACTTCTAAAAACAATGTTTGTGGAACAGCAGGTTAAAATAAGGCAGCTTTGCTCTCATCCTTGAACCAAAATATATCCTAGGATTAGGAACCCAGGTAAAACTTACACTTATTACAGTTACTAACGCTGCAAAGTAACCCCCCCCCGCTCCTCCCCAAAAAATATTGTGCATGTGTGGGGGGTATTTACTTTCTTGGAAAACAGTACAAATTTAAAGGAAATTTTTTTGAAATGTAGCTGATAAAGCATGAGAATTTTTACCACTCCATGGATGAATGATAAGCTTCAGAAACTAACAGCCTAGGTCAGAGATTCTCAAACTTCTTACATCTTAACACAGAGAGCACTTAATGGACATTACCCCTGCCAATCATAGCTCTCCTGTGCCAAATATAGCAGTTGCCTGCACAGCAAACGAGAAGTATTTCGCTGTTTAAAGTAACCAGGGTTGCCTTAAAAACAAAAACCAACCACTCATGTCTCTTGCTTGTCAATTCATCTCTGCCCAATCTGTTCTGTTGCTATCCCTTCCCCTTGCTGCCTAGTTCCCTCCTTCTTCAATCTCAGTAGATGTTCCCCAGGAGCCTTTTGCCCTGCACATCTCTAGCACTGGTGCTCTGGTGTTCCGAAGGGTAACTCATTTCCTCCTCTCACCTATAGCAACAATCCCACTGGCTCCTCCTAGAATCCAGGTGCTTTTACAGGCAGTTGGGTTCCAATGCCCATAGAAGCAGCCAGAAAGGAGAAGATACCAGCACCATGTGATCGGAGACCTCTCTGCAGTCACAGTTTGAGAACCACTGCGCTTAGGCTGTAGCTGCTGACACTGCCTAGAGAGTGGCAAAGTAGTGGTTAATTTCACAGAACATTAAGGCGGAGTCATGCCATCAACCACTCACTGCTGGTGGAATAACCAAATCCCAGGAAAGGTAAGAACACATGCAGTATATAACAGTTTTGCCATTCTTTAAAATTAGCTAAGGGGTACAGCAGTAAAATTAGAAAGAAAAGAAAAAACCAAGGTGCAGCATCAAAAGCATATGGAATATGGGTGCATTTCTGCTTTTCTGAAACCCAAGTTTTCCCCCTTGGTTTGCATTTTGCTTTGCAGCTAGTGCTGACAGCAGCCATATATTGCTCTAAAGCGTTAAACAGAAATACAGTATCTATAACAGTTAGTGTCTCTCTAAGCTTATCCAACTGGGTTGGGTAAGCCCAAAGAGGCCTATTGTAGAGAAGGTTTATATATAAAATACACAAAGATACAGGCCAAAATAGATTCCAGCAGGTCAAATTCTGCTGTCAGCAACAAGAGCAAAAGACATCACTAAAATAAAATTAAAATAAAAGGAATAAACTTTTAGCAATTCCCACACACAAGAGACTGGCAGTATAAACGAAGTTTTGTTGGTCTATGATGAAAGCAGCCTCAAAACTGAAAGCCGCATTTCATCAATATATTTGTCTGAAGTTAACTGGAATTCTCAGCAGCACTGGAGTAGAAAGAGGACACATTCAAAGTCTACATTGAGTATTAGATCAGTTTAATATTACAGCCTTCCACCTCAAAAGATGAGGGGAAAACAGATGATACCCATCCAACTACTGAGATGGTCCATTAAAGTTTGTTCACAGAAAACTGGGTGAAGACAGCAGACAGATGCCATGTCTCAGGGAAACAGACAATTTTTTAAAGACCCAAACACCATACCATAAAAAGAGTATTTAAGAAATGAGAATGATTACAGAGGACAGAACTCCAGAGCAGATGGGAACGGACACAAAATTTTAAAAGGATGTCGTAAAAAACGATAAATATAGCTATTGGAAGACTTGCTCTAACTTTTTTGAAGGCAGAAGTTTACTGATGGACTAGACAGATTTTGTGTTTAAGATGGGGGACTCGAGAACAGTGAAGCTGGACTGCAGCTAAAGGGAAGAAACTGAACACACAGTAAGAACCTCTGAGCTACTGAAAAGTAGTTGGTTTAGTTAATGAAACAGCATGAAAGCAAAGATCAGGACAAACAAAACAGATTATTTCTTTTAGGAAGCAATAATAATAATGTTGGCTATGCTTCTACTTTACTTGGAATTTAGAAAAGTTCTTGATAAAGCACTGCACAAAAGACCACAACAACGTGAGTAGGTATGGGATGTGGAAAGGATAGGATTGTGTGTAAAGTGAAGGACTGGACTTCAGTATTGAAGACCCAGGGCCAGAGTCTCAGAAGTCAACACAGCAACCATGATTTATATCACCTGAGGATCTGGCCCCTGGCTTTCTTGTAGTAAGCAGTCTGAGATGGAGGAAGTAGCAGTAGACTGCCACAGAGGACAGTAACAGGGCCAATTTTGATTTTTTTCTCTCTCAGTGACTTGATAAAATGACATGCACTAAGGGATTTGTAGAAAGTGAGAGAGCACTAAAGTCAAAGGAGGAAGGCAAAATTCAGAATAATGTGGATAGAAAAGAATATTGGCAGATAAGTGAGCTTCTGCAATTTAATGCAGAGAAATTTAAGATAAGTCAAAAGAACAAGAAGAGTATAAGCTCAATAGCATTTTATATAACAAAATACCAAGCAGGAGAAAAATATTCTTGGATGTACAAACAGCAGCATTGAATACAAACTATGAGGAAATTTTTCTAGCATTTTCTGAGGGATTAAGGAGGCCATGTTTGGAAACTACATGCGGTTACCATGTTATGAAGAGGATACAGAAATGGAGAACAGAAACAAGCTACGACAGTGACAGGACTCAGGGATTTCAGTCATTTTTAAAAATTAGACAAATCAAAGAGAATTGTGGGGTACAACTACTCCCTCAAATGGATGGACTCAGAGGCTTTCATCCCAGAATATGTCGTCTTAAAATTCTGCTTTACCCTGTAACACTGAGTGGATTGGAAGCCTTCTATTAATTTTTTAGAGCAGCTTTAGCAGCGGAGCCATTAATCCAAACCAGCTGTGATGTTTTAGTCCTTTTTACTCAGAGACTGCAAGATTGGGATAAATATTTCAAAGGTGCAGGTGATGCAATCATTTCTAAAATATAGTTTCAAAACTCCAAGCAAGTTTTAATCAGGTGTTTATTTTGGTCTCCACTGCCTCCTCTATTTAAAATAAGCTGCTCTATAGTATTTACTGAATGGATGAATTTGTTTTTTATTTAAGGAGAACAGATCAGTTGCAAGAGGATTAAGACTATTATCAAGACAAAAACAAAACAAATATATTGAAACTTCGTTTACACCCCAATAAAGACAAAGCCCGCCCTTCCTCTGACTGTGGAACTGGCCTGTACCTCTGTGATAAATTATCACCTAGAGAGAAGAAATCTAAAGAGATATCGTTAATCACAGTTAAACAATTCACAGAGAGAAAAAGAAAAAAAAGAAAGAAAAAAAAAACTTAACTTAACATTACTGTACTTTACTATGAAACACTTAAATATGCCACTAAGGATGTATGTCTAAATTAAAAATAAAACTAAGACTTGACTTAGCTTAATAAATATGAAGTGAATATATTTCTTAATAATGGAATCAGAGGAGAAATGAAAGTTCAGATGGCAAACTATTCTCTAGCATGTCTCACATGCTACAAGGTGATCAGTGCAACTAAACTTCATGTACTTTTACAATAGTGCCTCTGTAATAGTTAACAAATAGATGATTGATGCAATGAAAGACGGATGACATGAAAATTACTTCATATTTTGACCAAAGGTTACAGACTTGCTCATCTAGCCTATTAATTGTTTTCCTTTTTAAGGAACAAAAATAAAATTCTAGTATGAATGGGGACATATAATTCCTGCAAACACATAAACAACTTCTCAAAGGCAATTTTATGTAATTTAAGAAAATTGGTTTTCCTTGAATTTCAAGTAAAGACATTTAACCAAAACAAAAAGCACAAATGGATGGATCTGATTCCAATCTCATGTTTAGAGATAATTTGAACTGCAAAGAAAAAAACTGAATACAACACAACTGTAGACTTTAACATACCTTCATGTTAAATGGGGGAAATCTGAAGCAAATTAGTTAACTGAACTTTTTCAATATTTTAAACCATGTGTTCGGTTCAGATGTTTAATTCTGTTCATATTCAAGTAAAAAGAACCAGCAAAAAAATGAACATGTAACATCTGACTTTAAAAACAGACACACCAAATGAAGCGGTGTATGAAAAGCCTACGTTTGTGATATTTGTCCACTGAAATCTTTTCCTGAGGCAATGTAAAAAACAAAAACAAAACAAAAAAAACCACTACGTTTTTTTGATGGTGTGAAATAGTTTGCCATCTGACTACAGGAGAGGATGAAGAAATTTCAAGGACAAACTAGATCAGCCTTTACCTCGGGGCCTCTGTTTCTCTGCATCATAGATCATTACAACTTCAGTGACCTGGAAGAGAGAAGGGAAATTCTACTAACTACGTTACCAGGGGAGCGATACAAGCAGCGTAGAACAGGCTGGTTTCCAGCACTCAATCCACAAAGCACAATTAAATGCCTGATGTAGCCATCAATACTTGTCTGTCACAGCACAATGCAAATAAACTCCAGTAAAGAGCAACACTTCCCATTTATGAAAATTCTAATTGAGTTCATTTGTTCCTAGCAACTAAAGTATAATCACATTTTTGCTTATTTAGGACTGCAACAAACTTTACCCACCAAAAACATTGATAAACTAGAGTTACGGTTGCTAAAGTGCATATCCCACCAACCAGATCATAAAAATAAGGAAACAAACAATTAAATCATTCAACACCCCTTTTCAGTACTACTTCTCAGGCCTGGTCCCCACTAAGCCCCCACTTCGGACTAAGGTACGCAAATTCAGCTACGTTAATAACGTAGCTGAATTTGAAGTACCTTAGTCCGAACTTACCGCGTGTCCAGACGCGGCAGGAAGGCTCCCCCGTCGATGCCGTGTACTCCTCTCGGCGAGCTGGAGTACCGGCGTCGACGGCGAGCACTTCCGGGATCGATTTATCGCGTCTTAACCAGATGCGATAAATCGATCCCAGAACATAGATTGCCTGCCGCCGGACCCTCCGGTAAGTGAAGACGTATCCTCAGTCTCAACTACTTTTCTTCCACAACATGCACATTTCCACCCTCATCCTGAACAAGGTAGCCTTAATTCCAACTACTTTACTGACTAATATAGGATTTGTGTAGCTTTCCTATTATGTCTCTCTGTGGAGCATGGTGTCCCTGAGGTAAGACATTTCTATGATGTTTAGGCAAAGTTATGCCAGTGGATAATGCTAATGATTGTTGTTTTAAATATGGAAATGACTAAAATGCCAAATTACAAAACTGGTGTTAAATCTGAGATGTTATCACATACGCATAGAGAGAGAAGCTTAAAGTTTTTGAGAACTGTGATCATTTAAGCTGTAGGAAAACAGGATAAAAGTTCAAAAAATGTTTCCTTGGCAAACACTGGTAAATATTACACGGAAAAGCCAATTGGTCTTAAGAGTTATTATGAAAAATTTGTATTGAGACTAAATTCCATAAAATATTAAAGAATGCAAGCTTATTGGAGCTGAAATTGATGTCTCCATTTTACTTTGAAATACTCTGAAGTATAGACTCTCCAAAGTACTATACAACTAGTACAGAACACATGCATGTATTAAACAGAGTTAATCTGTACTGCTTTAGGGCTGATTATTGTCAATATTAATCACCCCTCTCCAGATTTTTCAGAATAAAAATTCACTGCACAATTAAGGTGATATGCATAGACTAACCCCAGGGGTGCCATTTATTTTAATACCAATTTTAAAGGCAGGTCATATGGCCATTTTCAAGTTAAATATAAAAATAAACCAGAAAGTTTCCAGTTTCATAACAATCTTGTGGCTATTCCTATATCACTACATCCCTGCTTTAAAAAACTACTTTCAATTTAGCTTAGAACATTTGTATCTCAAGCAGCTGAAATAATCTATTAGTCTGATACTCATTTGTCTTGCTTTCCAACTTCTGTGAAAGATTCCAGTCATGTTTTGGAGATCACCACAAAGGATACACTCACTTGAAGGTATATTATCGAACTCTGCTGATTCAGGTTTGTCATCATTTAGAGCTGGTAGGCCAGTTGGAAGCATGACAACAAGCCATAATATTATTTTGACACATCTGTTCCGCTGGTCTGTTTGATACCGCTTTGCTTGGTTTGAGTCCTACTTGCCATATTGGTCAGTAACAATCCCCATAGGTCTCTTAGAAGCAGAGCCTGCCCTTTTGTTGTCGTCTTAGCTTCTAGTTTTTCAGGCTGCTATACCTGTAATTCTGTGTGCTCTTGAATGTGTTTTTCCCAGAATGCAGGATCCCATATTTCTACAGGTACTTAAATGACTACACACACACACACAATTCTTGTCTTAAGAATGCTACCTTGGGCTCCCCAAATTCTATTTTAACTATCAAGTGCTTCTACTTACTTTTATGGCACTTACACTCAATGGCTGTGGCCTCCTATATCTGATGGAACTTAACCCTGTATCTCCCAAGCCATCCAGGTCAGAATTGGAAAGCCATAAGTCTGCGAGAAGAGCCTTTAGAAATTATGCTCCACAACTATGGATTCCACTCCCCATTTTTATTTGTAAACTCAGTCTGTTGCAGCTTTTCAAACTAAAGAAACATCTATTAGCCATTGGTGTTAATCTTTTTTTAAAAAAATTATCGTTTTAACCAAATTTCATTGAAAAACATCATGATACCACTTGAGAAAGATGGCTACATAGATGCTTTGGGCTGCTGATGGAATTTAGAAAGATAGGTGATTTAAAGGTGAAGATGGTTACAAAAGCATTTTGGAGTTAGGGCGACCAACCAATAGCCAGTGTGAATCTCTTTGCTTTTGACATTATGACTAGTACAACTGACATGAACAGTCATATAAAATTTATACTACTCCACAATATTTTAAATTGAACTTAATATACAAACTAATCTTTGAACATTGTAACAATTTACCTATTCCAGAAAAAATCTGACAATAAAAGTAGAAATAAATGTGAGTTTAATGAAGTCATATCTGGACATCTTCATTCTATATCAACTTAAAACTGAAGCGGGCAAAATTTCAAGAAAAGCATGAGTAAGAAACTGCATGGATAGTAGTCTGACCCTAGAAATGAGATTCTGAAGACCGAAAGGACTCAGTTAATGTTAAAACAGCATAGTGAAACCAAAACAATGTCAAGTGGATCACCAAAAAGTCTTTCACCAATTTGCTTAGAGGACAGAGACCTGTGATGATGCAAATTCACTGAAGTACCTGCTGTTCCAAAAGCAAATGGAAAGTTTTCATAATCAAACTAAGGTACACTAAAACAGCAGCTGAAAGGAGGGTGATAAGTCATTTATACTCAAGTCATAATTAAACTTGAGGGTTTTTCCTCCCCCCCTTTGAAGAGGGGAGAGAAAATAGTATCAGGAATAGCTAAACCAAAGGAGGCAGGGGAAGGTGCATAACAAGTTGTGCACATGAGGGCAAGCGATCTGATGAAAAATGGCAAATGTGCTGCAAAAACATTTACTATACTTTACCACAAAACACTTCAATATGTCTCTGGGGAAGTTTGCCTAAATTAACACTAAAATTTGACAGCTTAATGAAATCAGAATGAAGACGGGGGAAAAACATCTTGTAACCAGCCGATGCTTGCCATGATGATGAATGACTCACCACTCCGAATTTCTTGAAGTATTCCCTGAGCTCAGTCTCGCCACAGTTGTGAGGGATCCCACCAACAAAAATTTTATTTGATTTACTGTTATCACTTCTGGGTCCTTTCTGCTAAATCAAGAGGGATAAAATACTGTTAGTTAGAACTGTGATAAACACTGTAGCATAATCTTCCTTCACTGGTACATGAAGGTGGGTTGCTCTAATCCATTTTGCATTCTAGGACTAACAAAGTCACAATTCAAATTGAAGTCCAAACTTGGAAGACACCCATTTTGTTTCAAATGGAGCAAAAGCGTGTTCTGGATTCATTAATTTGGTATGCTTAGCTATAACTTGGTGTCCTTTCTTGGTAAGGACGGAGAACTGAGGGCAATGTTCTGAAAGCATTTATTTCTTAATTAAGCAGTATTAACCAGCAGGTTGTGGGTTGTGCTGGGATAGCAAATAACCTTAAGGGGATTTTTAGACACTATCATTTACATTCTTTCAATCCACAAAAGTTGGGTAATTAAAATACACCTCTACCCAGATAGAACGCTGTCCTCAGGAGCCAAAAAAATCTTACCGCGTTATAGTTGAAACCGCATTATATCGAACTTGCTTTGATCCGCCGGAGTGCGCCGCGCCCGCCCCCCCCCCCCACGACCACTGTGTTACCGTGTTATATCAGGTCGCGTTATATCAGGGTAGAGGTGTATTACTGATGTCATTAGAGAAACCTGAATGTTGATTAGTCAATCGCCCAAATGAAGATGAACATCTGTAGCATACCTGGACTGTACTCTACCTAAACATCCACACAGCTATTGAAGAATCACAGTCACGGATTACCTAACCCCCCCCCCCTTTTTTTTTTTAAATGAGAGCTACTTACAGCCTAGAAAATGTCAAAGCCTATCAATTGTTGACTCTATACTCAATTTCAGCAACCATGAATTTACAAGCCAGGTGGACTTGGTTCACAATCAGTGGAAGGCTAAACATGTTATTCTGGGAAATCAAGATACGAGTCCAAGTAAAACAGACTTTAATAAAGTAACTTTTTTATGGATTTCTACAATTCTGGGTAATTAGAACAATTTTTGGGGGGTGGGGGAAGAATACTGGGTAGCAGAGAATTTACACTGATCAGTCCTAAATTGTAGTAGATGGTTTCTACTTCAGTTATTCACTTACAGGATAGACATTCAGGATAAAATTTTCAAAAGTGGCTAAGTGACTCAGAACCACAAGTCATGTTAAAAAGGTGATGGACACACATCTCAATGAAAATCGAAAGGCCAGGCTCCTAAGTCATTTAAGTCCTTCTGAAAATTTTACCCAAGTGCATCTATTCCCACAGCCATTTCAAATATAATGCCTGTATCATTCTCTTATCTAGAGTATATCATGAACTGTTTAATTTTCTTCCTCTGAGCACAAGCACCTTTCATTTTCTTAGAAACTGGGAGCTGAAAAGAAAGGGAGTATTCGCAGTACTAAATATTTATAATATTGTTAATATCGTTTTTTTTAATAATGTAAGTTATTCCAGTAGAAGCCAAATATCCCCAAGTAGATAGATGCAGCTTACATCAAGCAATTCATGTTCAGGATTTACTGTTCTTCAGAAACACAGTTCAGATTTGGGGACAATGTATACCTTCAAGTCAGCGGCACTGCTATGGGTACCCGCATGGCCCCACAGTATGCCAACATTTTTATGGCTGACTCAGAACAACACTTCCTCAGCTCTCGTCCCCTAGAGCCCCTACTCTACTTGCGCTACATTGATGGCATCTTCATCATCTGGACGCATGGGAAGGAGGCCTTTGTTGAAATCCTGGTGGAATTCCTCAATTTCCACCCCACCATCAACCTCAGCCTGAACCAGTCCACACAAGAGATCCACTTCCTGGACACTATAGTGCAAAGAAGCGATGGTCACAAACACCACCCTATACCAGAAACCTACTGACCGCTACATGCCTCCAGCTTTCATCCAGACCACATCACATGATCCATTGTCTACAGACAAGCCCTAAGATACAACCGCATTTGCTCCAATCCCTTAGACAGCGACAAACACCTACAGGATCTCTATCAAGTGTTCTTAAAACTACAATACCCAGAGCCGGCTCCAGGCACCAGCTTAACAAGCAGGTGCTTGGGGCGGCCAAGGGAAAGGGGCGGCACGTGCGGCAATTCGGGGGCGGCAGGTCCCTCACTCCCTCTAAGAGTGAAGGACCTGCCACCGCCGATCGCGGCTCCCCCCCCCGCATCGCCGCTGCCAGTCGCAATTGCGGCTTTTTTTTTTTTTTTTTCCACGCTTGGGGCGGCAGAAATGCTGGAGCCGGCCCTGACAATACCCACCTGAGGAAGCAAAGAAACAGACTGAGAGCCAGAAGGGTACCCAGAAGTCACCTACTACAGGACAGACCCAACAAAGAACGCGACTAGCCGTCACCTACGGGTCCCAACTAAAACCTCTCCAGTGCATCACAAAGGATTTACAACCTATCCTGAAGGACGATCCCTCACTCTCATGGATCTTGGGAGACAGGCCAGTCCTTGCTTACAGACAGCTCCCCAACCTGAAGCAAATATTCACCAGCAATTACACACCACACAACAAAAACACCAACCCAGGAACAAATCCCTGCAAAAAACCCTGTTGCCAACTCTGTCTGCATATCTATTCAAGGGACACAGTCATAGGACCCAACCACATCAGCCACACCAACAGGGGCTTGTTCACCTGCACATCCACCAATGTGATATATGCCATCATGTGCCAGCAATGCCCCTCTGCCATGTACATTGGCCAAACCAGACAGGCTCTACACAAAAGAATAAATGGACACAAATGAGACATCAAGAATTGTAACATTCAAAAACCAGTAGGAGAGCACTTCAATCACCTTCAACACTCAATAACAGACATAAAAGTAGCCATTCTTCAACAACAACAACAACAACAAAAACGTCAAAAACATACTTCAACAAGAAACTGCGGAACTGGAATTAATTTGCAAACTCGACCCCATCAAATTAGGCCTGAATAAAAACTGGGAGTGGCTGGGTCACTACAAAAAGTAATGTTCCCTCTGTTGATACTCACACCTTCTTGTCAACTGTTGGGAATGGGCGACATCCACCCTGATTGAATTGACCTCGTTAGCACTGACCCCCCACTTGGTAAGGCAAGTGCCATCTTTTCATGTGCTGTAATATATATACCTGCCTACTGTATTTTCCCCTCCATGCATCTGATGAAGTGGGTTTTAGCCCACGAAAGCTTATACCCAAATAAATGTATTAGTCTCTAAGGTGCCACAAGGACTCCTCATTGTTTTTGCTGATACAGACTAACACGGCTACCCCTCTGAAACAGAACTCAATCTGTAGACATAACCATAAAGGAAGACTGAAAGGGACATCAGTTGATTAAAAAAGGCTAGTCAAAAATGGGATCTCAAGAATTTGGCTATAACTGCAAAGATTTCATCCTCATTTTGTGCTTTGCATGCTCATAGATTTTACAAGTTACACTATCTGAAGAATAGGAAAAAAAGTAGATGCTAGACAAACAGCTACTTTACCAGATTAAAAACAAAAACAAAACACACACACACCCAGGAGACAGAACAATACTAAAATTAAACCAGTAAAATAAATATATTTCAGAAAAAAATATGTTCAAAATATAGCAGAACTTTAAACAGAGCAACAATCCAGTTTTCTTCCCCAAAAAGGTGGTGGTGGAGGTTAAGCTGTGGTACAAAATACCTGATGCTACCACAGTATAAGGAACATAAATAAGTTTTTAATTAATTCATCCCCCATCTCTCTCCCCCAAAAAACCCTTACACAAGTGTTGATGAAATTCTTGAACTTTGTTTGTGTAAATCAGACGTAAGAGCTAATTCAGATTTAGCCTGTTTGAAATTTCACAAAAGCATACAATTTAACTTCTACTCTATTTGTCCTTGCATAGTCACAGATCTTCATCACCACCATTACCCACATTCAATCATACTTGCTTCTTGTCAAAGTATTTCTTTGATTTCCATACTCTGGCTTGGTGTACACCCAGCAGCAATCAGTAGATATGTCACAATGTCAGTTAAAACTGCAAGAATCTTTGAACAAAAGACCTAGTAGCATAACCAACAATTCCAATGAGAGCTTCACCCCTACGAAAAAAACACTTGGCTGTTAGAACTAAAATTCTGTTGAAGCAGCATGTATGAAAGTAAACTCCTTCACACACCATAATATAAAATGTAGTCCGCTTTAATTAAGAAGGCATCTGGCCTTAATACCAACTGCTTACTGTGTTTTACGCCAACACTTCTGCATTTCTCTCTCAGTTCCAAGCAGGTAAAAGAGCTTTCTAAAATTTACGTCAGATGATCAGGAACTGAGAGAAATACCAACATGATATTCATGATGCGTAGAGGCTGAAGAGTGCAGGCTGCTAGCCAGAAAGACCTTAGAATATATCTATCAGCATACTTTAAGGATCTCTCCTTACCCATCCCTCCTTTGGCCGTGTTCTTTCTGGTTGCATTCCCCGAGGTGTACATGGCTTTGGATCAATCTGTAACAAGTTCCAAATTGGTCAGTTCTAAGTGTGCAGAATATTTTGCTCTAATAAATGCATTCAAAGCGCCTGTGGATGCCATTCTCTAAACTTAACACTTCTGATAAAAGTTACCCCCAGATTACACATTTTGGAAGGAACAGTCATTGAATTAAACATAGCTTGAATTATTCATATGTCAACCACCACCCAAATTACTTTTAAATTCACCGATTTAAAAAAATATTAAAGACCTAGTCATATTCTAAATAGTTAAAACCAAAGTGACAGGTAAACTTACATTTCGGCCATCTAATGTATGTGGTCTGCTGGCCAGTACTGTTCCCACGCAGTTGGGATCTTTAAATTTGACAAATCCAAACCCTCGAGATTGGTTTGTTGTTTTATCTTTCATTATTACGCAGTCTACAACTTCTCCATATTGGGAAAAGTAGCTACGGAGAGTTTCTGTTAAAAAATATGGTATTAAGCAGAACCAGCTATTAAAGAGTTTAACTTTTAGTAAAACTGACATGTCTAAATCTTCTAATATGCACTTGCTAAAATCTCGCATCTGATGATTTTGTATCATTTAAAAAGGATATACTAGCCATGTATCTGAAAACAGAATATGCTCATTGTTTTAACTCCACTCAGGTAGATGGAAGAAAATAGTACAGTAAATTAATTTTCAAAACAGAGATCAGCTATTTCTGAGTCAGCACTTTAAGGGATATCAAAACCAACTTTTCCTAATACCAACCAACATAACCAGGGAATATAAAATTTCCCCATATCCTTGCCCAGGAGATATGAAAGTGACATAATGTAAAGATGAACAACACAGTCAGGAGAGAAACGTACATTTAAAGTTTCTTTACGGGAATTCTATTACTGTTATTCATTAAAAAACAACAAAATCAAAGATCAGTAGTAAAGACTCAATTTTCTAGAGATGTTACTACTATATTACTTTATAAGAAAGTATGAGGTATAAAGTTTTGTCCTTTGTAATGTTTTGGTATAATGGTTGTAGAATACATAACTTACCTTGTGTTGTACTCCAGTCTAGGCCACCCACAAACAACTTTCTGTAATTCAAACAACATATCGTGGTTAAAGTCTGAGGTCTGAATCAAACATGATGCATTATTTTAAGTAATAACATACACAACCTGTTTGGGCTTTCATCTAGCTAATGCAGTATTTTAGCATACTTTGAAGAACTCAAGGCCTGTTACTCACTGAAGATGCATTTCTCCTTTGCTTTTAAGTTTCCATTTTTATTTCAAGATTATCTTCAGGTATGTTACATACTGTTAGTATAGTGAAGGATTTAAAAACACTGAAGTATTATTTCTTCTGCATCCCACAGGTATAGGATTGCACGTTTATACCAAGAATATATTTTATTCTCATTTGAAATAGCAGATAGGAAATATGCCAGAAAAGCAGAAGTCAAATCAAACATCTATAGCTTTGACATTCATAAAAGAAAATATATGTCTAACAACATTAAAATATCCAGAAGAAAGAAGACAACACCAAATATCTTTACTTATCTACTTTTTGGGGCCAAGTGGGGTTGTTCATGTTGTGAAAATCCCCATGGTTCAGAGAGTATGAGCAAGGATCTACTCATTTTATTCCCGAGTTAAGGGTTTGAAGCAGTGCATAGGATCTTGCATGGACCCTCTGAGAATAAGCTCAGAGAACACCAGTGTGACTGTTTTAATAAACCCATCAAACACTGAATGTTGAACATACAAAATTGTTAAGAAGGATAAATAACAACTCAACTAGATAACAGATAATTTTAATAACTGTAGAGTATCCAATAAGATATGTAAACACTGCAAATACTGCAGTCCCTGAATCCCCTTTGTAAGAATAAATGTTATAGCAGATTTCCCAAGTTCTTTAATGTACTTCACTTTACCTTTCCTTCTTCAAGGGACTATCTTTAAAACTACTGGTGTATGAAAATTTATTCCACCTCAATTACTAAAGTTATCTTGTACCAACTTCCAAATGTCAAGCAATAAATGCGTACACACAGGGAAATGGTATAGCAAATTTCTCTTGTGTGCCATATGGTAAAAGCTCAATGGGAATCATGACTAAAAGGCACATGCTTTACTTTAAAGCATGTTGAACTAGACACAATAATGAAAAATTCAGGCATCATTAATTCCAATCTCCTGGAACTTCTGTATACCACTTTTCCTTTGACCTAATTATAAACTTAGAGAACAACATTTGAATTTCCCCCCACTCTCAAATCAGAGAGCTGGAGTTGGTCCTTTAGGTGAATTACACCCACTTGTCTTTTGGGCTCCCAAAAATCAGAAAGAGACAAAGGATAGGTCTACACTTACCTCTGGGTCCAGCGGTAAGCAATCGATCCCGGAAGTGCTCGCCGTCGACACCGGTACTCCAGCTCGGCGAGAGGAGTACGCGGCATCGATGGGGGAGCCTGCCTGCCGCGTCTGGACCCGCGGTAAGTTTGAACTAAGGTACTTCGAATTCAGCTACGTTATTAACGTAGCTGAATTTGCATACCTTAGTTCGAAGTGGGGGGTTAGTGTGGACCAGGCCTAAGTCAGACCCAAAAATCCATAAAAAGAAATTCTTACATAGCAAACAAAACATTAAAAGTAATAATTTATTTGCTACTTATATGTTGCTACCTCACTTATCTTGGAAGACAAGTCAGATTCATTTTTGGTTACTGTCAGATTCTAGTTAATAAATGAAAGTGAAAGGAAAAGTAACTACAAAGTTCAGGTTAAAAACTGCAGGGGAAAGTTTAGTTTTTAAATGTGTATTGGCATAAAAAACAGGGAAACATTTCTATTGTTTGGTCTTTAGGTCTCGGAAAGCTCATTTTCACAATAGCTACATCATTCTAGGGAAAAATCTAACCTGACAGCATCTCGGTCAAGTTGTTTGTTAACTGCGGTGAAAACTAAAGAGCAGTGAAGTTAGGCTCCGCTAGTTACAAAGTCCTGACAGTCAGGCTACAAAAAGATCCTTCTGTAGCTAATTTTTGAAACACAAAATTAATGATTTGCAGTCTAAGACTGCAGACTGCACCATTTTTGTATGGTAATCTCTCTGCTTGAAGAATAAACGCAAGATGCCAAATAAAAGTGGAAATTTATGCTAATTTGGTTGTATCTGAAGAGAGTCTTCTCCTAACAGGCTCTTACCATAGCATAAAACTATCTTACATACTGCTACCCATTACCATAGTATCGGAGCACCTTCCACATAAAATCAATAGCAAAGATTTCTGCTTCATGGTAATAGAACAGAATGCCAAGGCCTTTCCCACAAGGAAAATACATAGTCTAGTAATTCTGTAAACTTTGCTGTGCAGTCAGCACATCATGTTTTGTTTGATCCTATTTTAGAAATGGTTTTTTTAAAAAAAAACATTACTTGAAATTAATGAGACTCAGACTCATTAGTAAGTTCTTAAATTATTTTAGTTTCCAAAAATAAGTTTATATGAAATGTGACATTCAAAAAAGATTGTGATGTAATAAGAAAGCGTTTCCTAGGAACCTTCAGGTACTAGGTAAAGAAGACAAGCCCATTTTAACTAACTTATGAAAAATATTTTTGCTGCAGTTGAAACCAAATGGTAAACATTAAATTGTGTGCTCCCCACTTGAAAAACAGAACACAGCAGGTCAAGTTTCATTTCGTGCACTGAACATCTGGAATACTAAAATATGGTATTTAGTTTTAGTAAAATTGTCACAATAGGTAGCTTTGAAAACCAATCAAAATGCATTGCTTAGGTATGCTGGTTGGTCAGAATTTGTAGTTTTGTTACAAAGACAAGAAGCATGACAGTGACATATGTATTCACACAATGCCTTTCATCTGAGTTCATCAAGGTGTTTAATAGTTATTAATCCACCTGTGATTTGAAAAATGTGAAACAGAAGTGACCGGGCCACAGTCATGAAAGTCAGACACAGAATTAAAAAATGAACTTTGGAGTACTGACTTCCAGGATTGAGATCAACCACCAGAAATCTTCTTAATACTGGACTGTGAAACCATACCTACATGATACCTACCTTATGATACAGTTTAAAAGTAACAAGTGAGGACAGTCTCATGCCTGCTGTATATCAGGACATTATGGACCAAAACATTAAGACTATAAAAAAAAGCAGAAATCTAGGTCAAGGGCAAGTTTTCAGAAACAGCATCTAAATCGGTACCCACAAGTTCTCCATGTTACAGCATGCCCCAAAATTTCTATTTGTGCACAGACGCTGGACTACCTGATTTGCAACTGTATGCACATGCATATCAATTTTAGCATTTAAAAAAAAACCCTACATATACAAAAAGTGCATCCCATAATTAAAAGCTAACTTAAGGCCATCCCAACATTTGGCCCTCTTACTCAGAAGCAGCATCTTAAAGGTCCACCTGTTATATTTTAGTAAGTAACTGAGTTTACACTAATATGACAGGGCGGTCTACTTCGTAAGAAAATGTCCTGTTTTCATGATCTTTCTCCAGAGAAAAGAGGAAATGATCTATTGTTTGTGTTTTCCACTTTGCTATAGTGCAGTGTACGGCCATAGCTCAGCTGAAGTCAGAAAAAAGTGTCTCCCAAAGAGAGGAGAAAGTTTCATTTGTATTTTTCCCATTCTCAGCCTGGTAGATTAAAAAAAGAGCTACTTTACCCTATGAGAAAATGTTGCAACTTCCTCTCACCTGCTTTATGCAGAAGAAACTGGCTCTATTAAACAACTAGCTACTCCCTAACAATGGCTGCCATAAGGCACCAGTCAGCTTAGCTGTTGCTAATTTACAGAGTTGTGGGTGCAGTAGTAATTAATCATCAGGAATTTTGGATAATTCTGCTGTACAGAAGAAGATTAGTAGCGGTAGCATAGACTTCACTTGTTCACTTGAGCTAGGAGCTCCAGGGAGGTATGGCAGTTTAGAAAAAGGCTGCAGTCAAGCCTCAGGAGCTAAAATTTGATTCCAGGAGCTGTAATTTTAATTTTTCTTGCATTTCTTTTAAAACACACATTACACCAACTTGCTCCAAGACATCTCAAGCTTACCTCAGCTGCTCAGCAAATGATAGTAAATAAAAATGCTTTAAGAATTTAGGTTTCCAGAGTCTAAAAATAATTAACATATTGTACAAATTTTAATCTTATTAAATGGTATTTTAAAATTTGCCTAGCTGGATCAGGGATTTCACCTCTAAGTCACTAGTTCGTAGATGGACCAGATCAGCAATGACATAAGCCTTATCTGCACTAGAAAACTGATTTGCTGTTGAGAACAGTTGTCAGTGGGTTCACATGAACCAGTCCAGAAAACGACTATCAGTGTACAAAGGACAATTTTCAGCACTCTTACAAAAACACTGACTACATCCACACTTAAATTGTTTTGGGAGAATGATCATTACCATATCCTCACCAGTGATACCAGTGTATACAGGGCTTCGGTGTTTTAACTGCCATATAACCCAACCCTGCCGAAAGCTGGTCTAAATGATACAAAAGTAAAAATGCCTGGGCACGCCCACCATTTGTTACCACCAGTGAAGCTGCACCAACAGTAGTGCGCAACAGAGGGAGATTTCCTGGAAGATACTATTAAACAAGGCTTACATGTTGAGAATGTTTTCCACAATGGTGCTAAAAATGGTTTTGTTCTTCTCTAGGCATTGAAATGTTTGCAGCATCAGTTCAAAGGACCCCACACATTGCTGACAATAGTTTCGAGTAACATGCCATTTTTTGGTTTGGATAAGGTTTTAAAGCCTACCACCAGATGGTCTATTTGGTTATCTGAGTGAAGCAAATTCTTTCCATCCAATTGCCCATAGGCAGATACAAAAACAGTTTTGCTAGCAGTCTCACCAAAGTGGCCAAGATGAGAACTGCACTCTTCCTTAGATCTGGTCCCCCCAAAAGAGAGCCTTCACTGCTCCTTCCTATGCTGTATCTATTCTGTGAAAACAAAGTTTCTAATAATGCCTAATAGGAACCACACAAAGATTTTTTTTTAAATAAATCAGGTAGTTGTGTGTATAACAAAATAGTCATAATTAAATTTTATTATAAATAAAAAAGGCAACGATTTTAGCTTTAGTTTTAAACCAAGGACTCTGGATTAGCAATACGCTCTTCATCTGCCACATACAACTATTCTATGTCAGGTTATCAAATATAAAAAAAATATACCATCTGTGGGTTTCTGACAGACCATCTAGTTATTTGACTGCAGGGAGTTCCCCTTCTCGATAATGACCATTGAAACCTTCCAACTCCATTATAAATTATTTCTAGCCACTTCACAGACAAATATTCAAACAAAAAAGAAGGGTTGTCTAAGGTCAACTACAGCAGCTGTATGTAAATAGAGCACTTCTATTTATATGCATACTATAGAATGGCAAAAGCCAGGCCAATCTTAGCCTTCAGCTCTGTGATGGATGGATTCTAATATACTGAGCAAAAGTAAACCCTATTTAATCAACCCACCTGCCTAAAACAAGGATCCAGGCACAATCTAAAGGAAAGCTGACAAAGCAAAATATTTAAGAAAGGACAGTGCAAGAGGATTGCTCATCTTGCAACATTTAGCTTATACCATCATCAACCTGTTCTCAGGAGTCTTACACAAGCTGAGGCTTGGCCATTTACAGCTTTGCTTGTACAAACACTTAAGGACAGGTAGTTAGTAAACTCTTGCCATCAGTTCAAGTATTGTGCAAGTGTACTTCTCTCTCACACACAAAAATCAATGTTTTCACACAGCTATATATAACAACTGACATTATGGAGCTAGGCTGAAGTTACCTTCTCTCAAACAAAGCAGATCGTTCTGAAATTTTGCATGCTTCACCTCATCCCAGAGTAGTTTGCATGGGACAATACAAGTGGAGGAGGAATATATGACATGCAAAGCAGCTCCATCCCACCTCTGGAGTCAATGTGTTAACTATGCCCAGAAATATTACACAACAATTGAAACTTTCAACAATGTGAAAGTTTTGAATTAACTACAACGAAGACACTTATTAAATTAAATCTCCAATTAATATCCTCGCTGATGAATACATCAGCTGTTTTCAATGCAGTTTCAGTAGGCTACAGAGTCCTCCAGGAGTACACCATTTTCTTTGGCACACAGTAGTTTAAGTAGTAACTGCAGAGAATAGTATCCATAAAATCTCTATGTGCCCCAGCTAGTGCAAAGGATTACAGCCCTTATGTGTATAATGTATCACCTAGGTGATTTGCCTTGGAATCTCATGTAGTTTTCCCTTCAATTATATAGGCAATCATAACCATATGGTATGAAATAACAGAAGCAGGTTTCACCAGTAGTCGAGAGAGAACGAGTCTTAGGGGCTCATAGCAGTATGAGACTATATACTCAGGTATTAAATATTTTCAACCACAAATCCCAAATTTACAAAACTAAAATTCCATGTGCTGTATGGCACAAATTCCCCTCCTTTCATTACCATTACCCTATTTCTCAATACAGCGGGAAGACAGTGAACTAATCAAAGTCTTATTTTATTATATGAGTTTACCAGGCTTCCATGAATGTCAGAACTGTAATATTTGGCAGTAAGCATGAAGTATAGGTAGCTAAAGTAATAAATCTCAAGACACAAGGAGCAGCAAAGAGATTTGAAAATAGAAGCCATGTCAGACGGAATAATCAAAAGGCAGGAGAAGCACTCTACTACTCCATTCTCAGGCATTATCTCTCAAATTAGATGTTTTGAGTCCAGCAGACCCAGAACATCTTTCAGATCTTATTTTTTTTAAATAATTTTACACATTGTAATACCATAAATATTTAAAACTGTTTCTTCAGAGTGATTATCACATATCAACTTTAGCAGTTAGCCTACTGGAAACAACACATAAGTGATCAAAAATATGAAAACTTTTTTCTTTCTGTCAATTCAATATTCCCCACTATACAAATTACACCTATACCCCGATATAACATGAATTCGGATACAATACGGTAAAGCAGCGCTGGGGGGGGGGGGGAGGGGAGGGATGGGGAGAGAGACTGCGCACTCCGGTGGATCAAAGCAAGTTCGATATAACGCGGTTTCATCTATAACGCGGTAAGATTTTTTGACTCCTGAGGATAGCCTTATATCGGGGTAGAGGTGTAGTTCAACAAGCTTGGAATGTTCTTTTTTTAAGTTAATGCTGACAGTTCAATTATGCCCACATATTTTGTTTCTAAGCTTTTAAAAAAATGTTATCAACTTACATTTTTGCATTAGAAGGTAAGACTCCTACTCTAGTCAATGAGGCAGCCACAGAAGATTTATAACAGCTTCCAAAATACAATTTTTGTTTCTTAAGATTAATTTCTAGTTGGCTGCCAAACAGACTTGACATCATAGTAAGATGTCTAAAACTGCAACATATCCTATTTTTTTCACCTTTCCCTTCTAAGTATTTTTGAGTGGATGAAGAAATTAATGATTGTTTTTTTACCATCTAAAATCTGATCCTTCCACACCTAAATATACTCAGGGAGTGAAATTATGAGCAATTTGCAATCCACAACAAGCCCATTGCCCAGAATGTGAGTTAACATAATATTTTGCCCAATATTTATAAGCCTGTTTTAAACATGTTACTCCAGAGCAACAAATTAGTCACTTTGAGAAATGCAGCTGTCAATGCCCTCTCATGGGAGAGCATTTCATAAATTAGTTTCAACAGTAATTGGGGCTCAGGACACAAAAATAATACTTTCAGAACAGGCAAATGGGGTAAACATAACCCAAGGGGCAAACACCATTCACTGAGACAAGTTATTTTCAAGGTATTCAGTACTATTACATCTCTTGTACTTCTGAGCTAGTTCAGAACTTAAACACAGAGGGACACAATAGATGAACCATTCTAGGAGTATAGTCCTGGACAATGTCGTCTAAGGTTTTAGTTTATGATTTTATGTCTATTTTAGTTTTTACAAGGATGAACAGTTTATCATGGTGGAAAAATTCACCGTCAACTGTTGCTACATTTCACTACAACAAAACACTTGGCAACCAGCGTTGTGTAAAAATACTCTATAGTTTTCTGTCAATTCTCCCATGCCCCGTCCACTGTCTTGCGAGTCTTAATATTGTAAAATGTTTGAGCAGTGTATGGAAAATTATATAAAATGCAATCTTAAATCCATGGGGAGCCATATATGGCATTATCTATTTGAAATAGCCAAAGTCCCCAGAAGGCCTTTAAAGCAAGGGGAACTTTTCTTTTTTTAAATTCAGCCATTCAAGATGCCTAATGTGAAACTGATCTGTGGAAGCCTGTCAGTGGAAGGGAAGGTTAAAAGACCAGAGGCACAGTACAAGGTTCCCGTCTCTAGTAGGGGAGCAGAGGGGAGATAAAAAGACTCTCTTTGTCCTGCCAGTCTTGGAGGGGTAGAGGCAGATGGCTCGTTCACCCTCAGCGTGCACCTCCCGACACGAGGGGGGAAACGACGTGGGCAAAGCCGGGTGAGTCCGGGACTCCTTGCCCCGGGGCAAGGCCGTCAGCCGATTGTGCATCTTCCTCGCCAACATCAAGGTGAGGACAAGCGAGGTGCAGGGCTGCCGCAGCTGCTCTGGTCCCAGGATACGTGGTACGTGTGTGCGGACCCCATAGCTGGTAGCCGGCTGGGCTGGCGAGCACTCCCCGACCAGGGGCCCTACGAGGCCGCGATCCCCCCCCCCCCGGGACACGTGGGATGCTCCCGGGCCCACGGAAACGGGGCTCCGCGGACGCTTCGATTCGCGGCCTGGAGGAGGGAGCAAAGGCTCCCGCTTCGGCGCTGGCCGGGAGCCCCTGTGACCTTGGGCCCCGGCTCGAAGCACCTGCAGCCGCCAGGCCCCCGGCTAGGCGCGGGACCGGCTGGGGGGG